GTAAGGGAGGGAAAAAGGTTTGCTCTCTGCAGCTCCTCCCTTTTTGCTTTTGTTGCTTTTGCTGTCTTCTGCTGCCATGAACTGTTGCCCTTTGCCATTCCACCCTGCCTTGGAGCCAGCTGATTATGGACTAAAACTTCCACAAACCATGAGCTAAATAACCCTCCCTTTTCCTAATTTTGGGCATCTGGTACTTAGTCTCAGCAACAAGAGAAAAATATCTAAGACAGGAGGGGAAAAGGAAGGAAGGAAATTAAAAAAAAAAAAAAGAAGGAAAAGAAAAAGCAAGCTTTCTGGATTCCACAGAACAACTGAGCAACCAGAATAGGGCATTAATGTGCAGGTGATTTATTGTAATCATGTATTTAACAAACACTCATATAGCTCATCTATTTTTCAGGTCCTGTTCTGAGAACTTCATGGACATTGACTCACCCAATCCAGTGTCACGTGTGGCGTGCAGACCCGCATTACAGACAAGCAAACCATTGCTGGCTTGCTGGTCCAGAGGCACACAGAGGGAGGCACACAGGAGGAAGAACTGGAATCAGAATCCGGGAAGCTGGACTGCAGAGCCTGTGCTTTACAAATCACAGGGTTCTGCCCTCTCCAGCTGCAAGACAGTGCTGGACTAAAGACAGGCAAGACACTAGTCAGGCAGCCCTGTCTTCTGGCTCAAACCTCCAAGGTGTCTGTTCTTACTGGAACAATTAGTCAAATATTTTTTTGAATGCCACTGTGACTTTTGAGGAAGGAAGGCAACATACTGGATTGAGTTTAACTTCCCTTGGAAATCAAGAGCCCATAAAATAAATGGCATGGGCACTTTCAAACCTAGAAGAAAGATAACTCAATCTGGAGCTTGTTCAAATGATTTTTCCACGAGGCCATTAGTGAAAAAAAATTCCACCATTCGCTTCATTCTCCTTCCCCCTCCAAGATATAAATCAAGATGTGACGTTCATCCTCTCCAAAAATGAATGGGACTATTAACAACAGACTCATTTATTTTGTCAGAAAGCTTTGCAGGGCTATTTCATGACCTATGATGAACCGGAGAAGAGTGACTATGTTATTTAAATACCTATGTTATTTAAATACATCCAATTCAGCGCAGGGTCTGAGCAGAGCAGACTGCGCACTACCAGCTGGGGTCTCTTAGTTGCTTATTTTTTTATTAGTGCATATCCGTTATTCGTATCCGCACCTAACGCACTCTGATCATCTCCGCGCACATCACTCTGTCGCTCCATCGCCCATTCCCAGATCCCACGTGATGCGCGTGCGCAGGAGGATTGAGCACGACTCCAGGCGCCCTGGCACCGGGTACTTTGTCACGGCTTTAATAAACCTTCTCGTCTTACCATGCCATATTGATCTTGCTCGGGCTTTACTTAGCTTGTGACGGATGGAGTTACCTTACTCTGGAACAAAACCCACTATGCAGGACTATCTCCAAGTCATCTAGATTAATCAGCCGGATTGCCTTAGGAATTCCCACCTCTCGGTGCTTTCTTTCAACTCGCCTAGTTAATACCCGCGCGCAGGCGGGATCCCCCCAGGAGGCGCTGCCAGTGTGTTTGTGTCCTGCTGCCTCTTTGGCCCGGGCTAAACACCAGCGGCCACCGCCTGTGCACAGCAGGCCAAATCCACAGGCTGTAAAGCCTCAGCGACAATGACTCGGATGCCATCGCGGCGGTTTAACCTCTTTACTATCCCCTCATTACCAGGAGCGGTTCTCCGGAGACCGGCTCGGCTGTGTTTGCACCTCCCTCCTGTGAATGTGAAAAGCCACATCCAACACTTTTATCTGGGGAGCTGAAAGACGCGCAGTTACCCCTGACTCCCGAGATCCGCTGGAAACGCATTTCTCAGCTTGGCCCCTTCTTGGCCACCAACAGGAACAGAATACTCCAGACCTAAGGACGAATTCTAGTTCACTCAAAAGCACTTAGAACCCAAAGACACAAAGTTGTAAAGTGAAGACTGATTGGGTTGAACTTTCACGAGTTTCTGTGGCTGCATTTGAAGGATTTTTTTAAGGATCAGGACAATTGTTCATGTCACTTAAAAATACTGTCACAGTTACAGTGTTTCTAATGATTAAATTCCTAATAACAATGATTATACCAACGGCCCTTTTAAATAAGAGAAAACAGAGCTATGCTTTTTCGGGTCACAGGGGAAGAACACCCCTCCTGGAACGCTGAGTCCTGTCTCTGCCACTCTCTGTCCTCGACAGGGAACATGGACTGTGCCCAGCACTATGTTAGGTCCCTGTGCTTGAGCAGAGGGACCAGCCACACACACACACAGCATTTCATCATAATTTTTAAAAATATGCTTTGGAAAAAACTGCCTACAGAATTCCATAGGTGCACATTACAGTTTAGATCTTGAATGTCCCTGAAGGCTCATATATTGAACGTGTGGGCCCCAATGCCTAGCGCTATTGGGAGGTGGAAAAACCTTTAGGAAGTGGGGTCCAGTGGAAGTAAGTTGGTGGGGGAGGATATTGGGACCCTTGGGGAGGATATTGGGACCATGGCGCCTTTCTTTCTCTCTTTGCTTCCCAGCCACCATAAGATGAGTTGCTTCCTTTACCATGTGCTCTCAACATAATATACTGTGTCATCTCAGGCTCCAACGCAACAGACCAATTGGTCATGGCCTGAACACTCCACAACTGTGAGGCAAAACAAACTTTCCTCTTTTCAAGTTGATTCTCTCCAGGATTTTATTACAGTAATGCAAGCTGACTAACGTACTACTTATGAGTATGTATTTACAGAGAGACTTGGGTTCAACCCGGAGGTCTGTGGACTGAGAATTAAGGGGTGATGTTTCAACAAAGATGAGAAGCATCCATGTTGCAAGAACAGTATAAGTGAAAGCTTGTAGAAGTGACAGTGGGGGCCATGTACTGGAAGTTAAAACTAGTAAGGAGGTAAGAACTGGAGTTGAAACTGAGGTGTGCCACCAACATCTCCTAGGATGGCGATATGACCACATCAGGCGGTGGTGCAGGTATGGGGCTCTTAGATGTCTTATACAGGGCTGGAAGAAACACAAAATAGTACAACCACACTAGGAAACAACTTAACAGTTTCTTTAAAAGTTAAGCATATTTTTATGGTAAGATCCAGCCACACCATTCCTAGATATGTATCCACAGGGAAGGAAAGCATATATTGTGCAAAGACTTGGACATGAACGTTCCTAACAGCCTTTCTATAATTGTCCCAAACTGGAAACAGTCCAATAGGTGAGCACATGAACAAACTGTGATACAATCATACATTTGAATACTACTTAGGAACAAAAGAGAAAAAACTACTGGCATAGGCCTACAACACGGAAAATAATGTGAAATGGAGGAGCCAGATTCAAACAAAAGACAAAGAAAAACAGCCCATACGAATGATTCTGTTCATACAGAAACCTTGCAAATGCAAATTACTATGTAGTAACAGAAAGCAATCCCAGTGCTTGCTAGGGAAATGAGAAGAAATCACAAATGAGCCTAGAATACAGGACAGATACCATCTTGGTCCTGGTAATGATTTCAGGGTAGGTACGCAAGACAAAATATGCCAAACTGCATTTTAAATATGTGCCAAACCTCGTGAATTCACTAAAAGTTATTGAGTTATATATTTAAAGAAAGTTAATTGTACAATACATACATCATACTTCAATAAAGCTGTTAAATTTGTGCAAATGATTCTATCTCAATCAGATGTCAAAAATTTGTTCAGAGTTTCCCTGAAATGTCACCAGGCACAATGGCACCTGCCTGTAATCCTGCACTGAGGGAGGCTAGAGCAGAAGGATCCAAAGTTCAAGTTTTAGTTCCACCTGGACAATTTAGTGAGACCCTGTCTCCAAATAAAACAATAAAAGGGCTGAGGGTATAGCTTGGTGTGGAGGCCCTGGGTTTGATCCATATATCACAAAAAAGGAAGGGAGGGAGGGAAGAAGGGAGAAAGGAAGGAAAAAGATTTTCTGAAACTCGAGGAACAAGAAGCAGATATCTGGGCTGGGCTTGATTATGAGTCACCACATATGCAGGAAGACAGGACCTTCTGCCTGCTGGGAGATTGTGAGCAGAGGCGTGGCCAGGCCAGACCTGCATGTTTAGCAGATCCCTTCAATGCCAAGGAAACTGTTGGGATGAGGAGCACAGGACTGGCTGGAAGGAGAGCTGTCAAGGAAATGAAGCAAAATTTGGGTGAAAAATCCGGGTATAATCAGGTCAGCAGACATACAGCCCAGAGAGACCTGAAAAGTGCTTTCCTTTCTGTCTTTTTGTGTTGTTGTTTAAATGAAAGAATGCCGCACAG